ACTAACATGAAAACCATCGGTTAAAATTACATCATTTTAAAATTCAAATGTTATATAAGCAGGGGCGGAACTACAGTGCCGCCAGGCCCCGCAATAGGGGTGGGGTGGCACGCGTTTAGGGGTCCCACGGCCGACCATAATCATTTTTTTTTATAGTTTAAAAAATATTCAATTTTCTTGCATTTCGGACTCGATGGTTGTTTGTAAAACCAATACTGTATCTGCTATTGGGTTATTTTTATTCTATAGACACCATCCCACGCTCTTGTATTTTATTTATCCCTATGTTTTTATACCATTGTGAAAGCCGAGTCTTCCTTCACCTACAATCAAACACACGCTGTTGACGAAAGAATTCTTATGAAAAAAAAATCCATTGCGCGAGAGGCCACTGCCATGACTTATTTCCCTTTTTTAGATTTGTAATTAAAAACAATTGCTTCTTTTAATTATCTATATATATATATATAATTCTCTTCCGGAAGACGTTAGAAAACAAGCTGCAAGCGCCTCCTTACAGTCCCCTCTCTTTCTCTCTATCGCTATCACTACCACCCCACCCCCACAAGGTCTGGTGAGTTGTGGTCACGCTAAATGTTTACAAATCGTAGAGCCGGGTTTAGTGAAGGCTATTAGGGGCAGATAATTTAGTTTGAAACGATGTTAAACTTAGAGGAGGTAACTAAGAGGAGGCTGCTTTCACGTGTGGGGGGGGGGGGGGTAGGGTCAGGGTTAGGTGAAACGGGGGGGGGTAGTGTTTTAAAGCAAATATTTTCAGTGGCAGCATTGGTACTGTCGAATTGACAAATTATGAATTACTGAAAAGTAGAAAATAAAACAACTAAATAGCGGCGTATGATACGCCGCGGGTCGGCTCGTTATTTTTAAAAAAATTAAAAAATAAAAAATAACATAGTACAAAAAGGGAAATGTATTTTAAATATTAATTATAAATTAAATTAATTATATAAATACGAAAAAATATATAAATAAACATAACACGAGAAACCATTACAGGTACAAAGCTTTCATGTTTCATATTCTTTTGACCGACTCTTTAATTAAAATATTAAAGCAGACATAAAATAAAAGAACAGGTTTTCAAACAGACTAACTAATGCACTCATACACAAGACATGTTGTTATAATTTGTTTTAATTGGAAAAAAACAGTTGTTTTTCAATGAGTATCATATGTTCTTATTTCGTGTTTGTATACATATATATATATATATATATATATATATATATATATATATATATATATAGAGAGAGAGAGAGAGAGAGAGAGACAGAGAGAGAGAGAGAGAGAGAGAGAGATGTAGATGTAGATGTAGATGTAGATGTAGATGTAAATGTAGATGTAGATGTAGATGTAGATGTAGATGTAGATGTAGATGTAGATGTAGATGTAGATGTAGATGTAGAGATGTAGATGTAGATGTAGATGTAGATGTAGATGTAGATGTAGATGTAGATGTAGATGTAGATGTAGATGTAGATGTAGATGTAGATGTAGATGTAGATGTAGATGTAGATGTAGATGTAGATGTAGATGTAGATGTAGATGTAGATGTAGATGTAGATGTAGATGTAGATGTAGATGTAGATGTAGATGTAGATGTAGATGTAGATGTAGATGTAGATGTAGATGTAGATGTAGATGTAGATGTAGATGTAGATGTAGATGTAGATGTAGATGTAGATGTAGATGTAGATGTAGATGTAGATGTAGATGTAGATGTAGATGTAGATGTAGATGTAGATGTAGATAAAGATGTAGATGTAGATGTAGATGTAGATGTAGATGTAGATGTAGATGTAGATGTAGATGTAGATGTAGATGTAGATGTAGATGTAGATGTAGATGTAGATGTAGATGTAGATGTAGATGTAGATGTAGATGTAGATGTAGATGTAGATGTAGATGTAGATGTAGATGTAGATGTAGATGTAGATGTAGATGTAGATGTAGATGTAGATGTAGATGTAGATGTAGATGTAGATGTAGATGTAGATGTAGATGTAGATGTAGATGTAGATGTAGATGTAGATGTAGATGTAGATGTAGATGTAGATGTAGATGTAGATGTAGATGTAGATGTAGATGTAGATGTAGATGTAGATGTAGATGTAGATGTAGATGTAGATGTAGATGTAGATGTAGATGTAGATGTAGATGTAGATGTAGATGTAGATGTAGATGTAGATGTAGATGTAGATGTAGATGTAGATGTAGATGTAGATGTAGATGTAGATGTAGATGTAGATGTAGATGTAGATGTAGATGTAGATGTAGATGTAGATGTAGATGTAGATGTAGATGTAGATGTAGATGTAGATGTAGATGTAGATGTAGATGTAGATGTAGATGTAGATGTAGATGTAGATGTAGATGTCGATGTCGATGTCGATGTCGATGTCGATGTCGATGTCTAGATAGAGATGGGTATGGGTATGGGTATGGGTATGGGTATGGGTATGGGTATGGGGATAGGGATATGGATATGGGTATGGGTATGGGTATGGGTATGGGTATGGGTATGGGTATGGGTATTGGTATGGGTATGGGTATGGGTATGGGTATGGGTATGGGTATGGGTATAGGTATGGGTAGGGGTATGGGTATGGGTATGAGTATGGGTATGGGTATGGGTATGGGTATGGGTATGGGTATGGGTATGGGTATGGGTATGCGTATGGGTATAGGTATGGTTCAATTTAGGCGCAATAGCGCTCAAGGTATAACCCAGAACGCCAAATCGTACCCTGCAGGGATGCCGAGGGACGATATTGATTATGATTAGTGAACGACTACATCCTATGCATACTCTTTCGCACTTAGGCGCCTGAGCGCTCGCGAGACAGCCAGATAAAGTCAAAGTTTATTGTTGCCCATTATATCTTTAGTGTATAGCCTTTTTTAAAAGAACATACGCGCCATAGTGCTCACAGGGAGCCCTAGGCGCTTCTGGTGATGTAATAGACGCCCGATTAACGGATACCAAGTGCTTAGATAGTCGCTCTGGAACTATGGACGCCAAACCGTGTATTCACAAAAATTGCACCCTCCCGGGGCATTGCCCTTGCGTAATTAAAAAAGATGTTTTTGCAGAAACCTCCCTGAAGTGCTCTACTGAACTCCCTAAAGTTTCGTGACGATCGGATGAACAGTGTCAAACCACAATCGACTTTTAATTTTATATACCGTATATCGAGATGAATCGAATCGAGCCCTCCCTGCGAATTTCAATTTTAGTTTTTCGCAAAAACTTCCCCAAGAGTATTCTCAACAACTTTCCAAAGTTTCATGATGATCGGATGAAAGGTGTTGTAATGCATAATTTTAAAAAAAACACACAGACACACATACATTGCTTTTTATATATTGAGATCTAGATAGATAAATCCTTAACCCTTTGAGCCCTGGCCTCCCTGACCTAATTTCTACCATTTCCTGAGCTCCCAGGCCCAAACCAATTTTCACTTATCTGCTTCTAACTTTGCCTATAACTTTTGTTGAGATAATCAAGCCAAATTTGGTATCCGGACTCAGGATCAAACATCATTGCAGCAAGATTCGAAATTCTTTATTTTTTTACAATGTATAAACAGAACAATGTATATAAAACGAACACGTAATTATTGTTTTGATAGAACATAGAAGAAACTAATTTACATTTAGTAATTGTTTTGTTATTATTGATACATGGCCATACTAGTTCATCGCCAGAAGTCCACTTTTGTGTCCACTTTTGTGTGATAACTTTCAAAACAGTTATCACTGCCGGATTTGATGCAAAGAAAAGCTTCGCATGTTTTTCAACAGTAAACAGTTTTTTTCGTTTCGGCAAGTCTTTTCCTTGGCACCACGTGCATCATAACGTACGTGAACAGTTTCATTGTCACTGTCGATTTCAATGTCACTGAGTTCAGTCTCAAATTCAACGTCACTATCATCATACTATAGACCAGGAATATTATCTTCTTCATCAGAATCAATATGTAGTTGTATTGCCTGAGATGCAGTCATTCTACTTCTTTTGTTGATATTTCGGTCTTTTGCTTCATCTTTTGCACCAACTTTATATGCTGAAGTCGATGGCTGTGGCTCAGCTTTTCGTTTCGGCGGCATTGCTGCGAAATGTAAACACTTTCACTTTTCCTAAAATCTATGTTTAGAATCATAATCACGCACTAAAAAGACATATGCGCAGTTTTGGTCAGTCTCCCGCTAATTATATTTAATTAGACTGTATACCGGCCGCTAGGAATATGACGCTAGATCATCGGGCCGGAAAACCGGCTTTTCGGACATATATGCCTAATGTTGAAGCCGGTTTACTGGCCTAGCGGGCTCAAAGGGTTAAGAATTAATAATAGATATGTTTTTTACAATAGCCAAGACTTCCTTATACACACAATTTAAACAATTCCGCCAAATATACCATTGACATCTACAGTAGCGTACATTTTATCTGTTTAGTATAGATCAGAATGTAGGCCTATGTATATATTTATTTTTTATTTTTTCTTCGATCTTATGACCAACCACGTTCACCATTCAAGTTAAACTTTTCCTATTATTCAGATATTAATTTAAATGCTTCTTATTGTTTAAGTAGTACTGTCGGCTCCCTACTTTATATTTTAATGTAAAAGAAAAAATTTTAATCACTATTGATACTATCTTGATTACTGTTTTACAGATTTTTATCGTTCAATTGATTTTTATTTGTTTTTGTTTTTTGGTTTTTTTTTGTTGTTTTTTTTTTTTGTCTTTTTTATTTTGCAGAGTAAGTTATGTTTTTCTACTTATAAAAAATATTTTGAAAAATTTCAAGCTGAACTAATGCTAACGGAACACGGACATTTATTTCTTGAAATCCTTCGATATTTTAAAATACTTAAACATACAGTCACCTCACACGTGTTTTCATGAAAGTAGATACTAATAGATGAGTTTGCCGTTATTTTACTAAACAGAGAACACCTAGAACAGGTAGAGCTATTTATTACCTCCGAACGCTAGCCAAGGGTGACAGGCTACGCTCCAAGATAAGAATGATTCCTGGTTCTCAATGGTAACTGGATCGTTTTTTTTGTCTCTTAAATAGTTGTCTATTAATTGAGTAAGGTATATTTTTAACATTATTTCTTTTGTAAAATTGCTGGTCTTTTAAAATACTTCAGATTTAACAGTGACCAATTCTGGTACTAATTAAAAGCCTGTTATTATCAAGGATTTATGTCTTTTTTTATTTCTTTTTTTAAAAATATAATTCTTTATTAGGTCAAGGTTTTGTTTTAAATATTTTTAGGGAGTTCAGAATCTATCTATATGACAAAACTTATGTCCGTGGTATGATCGACTTTCCAATTGCATATCAGATGTCGAGGAGGCAAGATGGTGAGTTCGGCAATATGTTTTCTACAGGCAGAGGAACTCTTTTACGATGCCCCAAACAAAATTTCACGGTGCAGGATAATTTTCAGGTGGACTTGGAAATCTTGGATGGACTCGTAAAGGTCAGGTTAGGTTGTATCTTAAAACTGACAGATTTTAATTTTGAGAGATATCTTGCAGAGTACATAACCCAGGGACCGAACTACGGTCGGTTTGGACAAGGTGGGGGGGGGGGCGGGGCAGTGTTTCTTCCACACTTTTTTCTCCGGGGGGGGGGGGCACATGAAATTTTCGGAGGGGGGCGGACACTGTTAAAAATATATATTTTCTATATAAATTTCATTTCGTTCGGGGGGGGGGGGGAGGGAGGATGGGGATCTGCTCCCTCCTCCCAAAGAGATGCATAGAAAAAACTCTGGTGGGGGAGGAGGTATGTAAATTGATTTTGAATTAAATTTGAAAAATAAGATCTTTAAATTCACCTGAGCATTTTTAATAGAATCTTTATTATATTTGTTTAAATAATTAACAATATTAAAGTTTTATTTTCAGTCCTATGTTGATAATAAATTCACTGGAGAATTAGTTGCAGATACGTCGAGTGTCTTTTATCAAGTCCTTCATGTTGAGTGTTATAGTCAAGTAACTTCAGAGTGTTATCACATCCCATAAACATTTCAAAATCAGTGTCGACAAATTGTCATATTTAGCCAAATGCCCGTAGACCATTTATGCAGTAAAAATCTTGAAAATTAAACAATGTTAAAATTAAGTAAATTTAACGCCGTTTTAGTTTATAAAAATGTAATAACATAGCTAGAACTTGTTTTATAAAACGGTGCTTAGAAATTTTGATTTGATATTACATTGACACATGCTGTGCCACTGTGATCAGATGCGTTTCGATTGTTGTAATTCAAACCACCGTTTTTTTTTAATTGAATATAGTTGCCTTAATAAACTCAGAGTATATATATAGTGATGATATAAACACCGACAATACTATTATAAATATAACTTAAAGAATTTCGCCTGATTAAAAAAAATATATTTTTTATATATCTAAATTTAACTTTATAATTTACTCATATCCTTAAGTGCAGTCAACCTAATTGAAAACTTTTTGTAGGCTTTTTGAGCTATCGTCGGACAACTCTTATACGTATACTAAACCTATATAAGCCTAAGCAATTTACATACAGACATAGTAGAGCCAGAACTACAACTACACTCACACCTAGACCAACATCTAATCCAACAGCTACAGCTACAGCTAAAATATACACTTACACCTACCCCTACCCCTACCCCTACCCCTACCCCTACCCCTACCCCTACCCCCACACCTACACCTACACCTACACCTACACCTACACCTACACCTACACCTACACCTACACCTACACCTACACCTACACCTACACCTACACCTACACCTACACCTACACCTACACCTACACCTACACCTACACCTACACCTACACCTACACCTACACCTACACCTACACCTACACCTACACCTACACCTACACCTACACTTATTCCTACACCTACACTCACACTTGCGTCCACATATTTTCAAACATTCGCGTTTACATTCAAGCCACACCAAAATCTACAAATTGATGGTATCTGTTATTTATTTTTGTTGTTTTTGCCTTGTTGCTATGAATTATTCTAATTTTCATTTGGGCGCCAAGAAAACTCTTTACTCCTACTCCAACACCTATAGCCAAATCTACTCCTTCACCAACACCAACACTTAAACTACCCTACACCCACATTAACAACAAACCTACACCCACATCCACACCAACACACGCATTTACTTACAACGTAAGAGGTACAGACACCTACTTAACACTCATTCCTTTATCAGCACCAGATTGATATGTCCATTCTCTAAAAGGAAATTCACTTTTTTTTCTATTTAGGATAATCACTTCTACAAAATAATGTGAAGGGTAAAATGTTTTAAAAGAAATATGTAATTTTTCAATTGAAGCAATATTCGCTTGAAATCAATAATTTCCTAATATAAAAACAATCGAAAAAAACATTTTTTAAAAATTTATTACATGTTTTCTTTATATATACTACTTGGAGAGGTATTTTCTATGATTCAGATGGTCATTTATATCTTTGTAATTTCTTGTCCTCAGTGTTTCTTCCAGACTTTTTTCTCCGGGGGGGGGGGGGGGCACTTGACATTTTCGGGGGGGGGGGGGCCGTCAACATTTTTAGGGGGGGGGGGGGGCGGACACTAGTAAAAGTGTATGTTTACTATATAAAATCCATCTCGTTCGGGGGGTGGGGACGGTAGACTTTCCAGATGCCTGGAAGAAACTCTGATTGTCCTACCAAACATCGGGGTTTACGAGTGCCGAAGTTATGATTTTGTTGGCAAAAATGTTTTGGCTTTCAAATATAATTAGTGTTACCCACTTTAAAGCGAATTTCAAATCAACAAAAGAGATTATAATTAATTATTACAGATATAAATAATCAAATTTTAGATTTTAAAAAAGCATTATGATACTTCGAATTTGTGTATACGTACCGGCTAAATATTTAACAGTTTATTTCAAAGTTACAATATCATATTTTGAAACAAAACTATTTAAACTCTTCAACTTATTGTTTTACTATTCCCCAATGTAATGTTATCAGAGAATGTTTAAAAGTTAACTTTATCGTAGACATTTTTTTTCTAAATATGTATTTATCTATACTATATCACAATAAAATGGGTTGCAGTTAAAAATACCAATCGTATTGTGTTGTTTAATTTCTTCTTGTCAGGTAATTGTACTGGATTAGAAATATCCAATACAGTGTTTCGACCGAGCTTAACGAATAGCCAACAATAGATAATTACGATGAAATCATACCTTGGCGATTTGTTTGTCACGTTCCTAACATTACACACATAATTCCTCACACAAACCACACAATTTGTTTGTCACGTCCCTAAAAGTACGCCCATGTAATTCCTCACACAAATCAGACAATATGTTTGTTAACATCACAAACATTACACACATAGTTCCTCACACAAAAATTACAAAATAAAATTTAAAAAATTAAAATCAAATTAATAAATATCAAAATAACAATTAAACTATTTAAAAAACAAACTCATTAAAAACAACAAACAAATATACTCATTAAAATCTAATTAAAATTACGTAACTAGATCACCACTGGTGATAACGTAACTAGGTCACCTATGGTGATTACGTCACAAGGTCACCGGTGGTGACCTACTGACCTACTCCCCATCCCCATCCCCCAGTCTTTGCCTGCGCTGCGCCTCCTCTCCATCCCCATCCCCATCCACCTGCGCCTGCGCCTGCGCCAGTTGGCGTAGTATTTTACTATATAACATGTCTAACCCTCCACCTTCACCCTCCGCCTCCCCTTGCGCCTGCGCCAGTTGGCGTAGTATTTTACTATATAACATGTCTAACCCTCCACCTTCACCCTCCGCCAGTTGGCGTAGTATTTTACTATATATCATTTGCGCCTTCACCCTCACCCTCCACCTTCACCCTCCGCCAAAAATAATAATCAAAAGTGACCTAAATAACAAACCACCGCTTGATTGACGAAATAATGTACTCTTTTTATCTTTTTTTCACTTCACTACTTTATCTCTCTAAATCCATAAGATTAGCAAACAAATAATTACAAAGTAGACACAACAAATGTTTAAAAAAAGCACACTGTTTAAAGAATCGTGAACAAACTTTATACAATTAACTTCAGGTGATGGTTTGTACATCGGTATTCCATATTATAAAAGCCGCTTTACATAAAACGAAAATAATGACGTTTTTTATATATGTGCTTGTATGTGTGGTTTTGTGTGTGCGTGCGTGTGTAAAGTCAAAAAAAAATATTACAGTATACGCGTTGTTTTGTTGTTTTTTCTTTCCTTTTTTTCATTTTTTTATAATGTTCAAATTTACGAGATAAATGTACACAAAGAATTCAACACTTGCTTTCATAAAGGAATAAAACTTTCTATATTTTTAAAAAATAAAAAAACATTATCAAAAGATGTTCGTAATACAGTACTACTTAGTTCAATTATAAACAACGTAAACACTATTCGATTGATAAACAGTAAACACTATACACCACTGTAGGAAATAAACCGAGAGTGATCTCCCCTAAACTTTCTCAAATATTCTTATATAAAACAACAGGCGATGGGAACTCGGGATATAGTTATGATTTTTAATCCGATTCTTCTTCTTCTTCTTCGTTCTTAATTATTAGTGTTTGAGGGGATCGAGATTTATCTGCCAGTGGGTTTGAACTCGAGACTTTGTTCGAATTTATCAACCATGAGCTTTTTGCCGACTCGACCACGCCTCCAACACAATTAAGCGTTACGTGTCAACTGGTTATGCGCCATTGAGGCCATTGACTCCGATTTCAGCCTGCTTTTCTTTTTGGATTTGCTTCCATAGCCTTTGTCCAACCAAGAACAAACTACAAGGCAGCAGTTGTTTAATTTTGGAGTTGTCTCTCCTAGAAGAGTGGCTGTCCCCAGCTAACGTGCCTCATCTGCCCGAGGGTTCGAACTCGAGACTTTTCGGTTTAGCAACCATGAGCTATACCGACTCAACCACGCCGACCCCTTTAATCCGATTTAAATACTTAAACTTTGTAAAATAAAATAGAATCTCATAGAAAAAAGAATTGCGCACCAAGCGAACGCCGAATAAAGATGTGTATAATAGTGCGGAATATTATTAGTACTTAGACTTTATAAATTCACATGCAGTTTTTGAGAAATCGGTGATAGCGTAAATTTGTACTTCCGGTCAACGGAAATTACTCAAAATTAAGCAGAAGGTAGAGATATAGATCTTTTACTTACATGTGAAATTTCACTTATCTATCTTAAATTGTACTCAAGTTATAGGCTTTTGAAAAATTCAAAGTAGAAAAAGTACCACTTCCGGTTATCGGAAATAGCTCAAAAGTTGATACTGATCTTCGATTTTGATAAAATACTTATATTTCAAATTTCATCAACCTAGCTGTAACGGTACTCAAGTTATCGTGTTTACACACACACACAGACAGAAGTACAGACAGACAGACACACACACACACACACACACACACAGACATACGGACAAGATTGCAAAATTATGTTTTTCCGTATCAGTGAGGTGTAAAACGTCGAGATTTTTAAAAATTGGTTTTTTTTTTTTTTTTGCACGATTACAAGACTTTCTCTATACTTCGAATATACGAGAAAGTAATAAACCGGGAGTGATCTCCCCTAAACTTTCTCGAATATTCTAATATAAAACTACGAGGGATGGCAACTCAGGACATAGACAATATTTGTAATCCATTTTTAATTACTTAAACTTTTTATAATAGATAATATATATACGAGAAAGTAAAAAAAATACAACTCCTACTTGGCTTTTAAAAAATAATATTGAAGATTTGCGAAACGAAACAATCCACCGGCACAACAGCTTAATTTAGCCCAGCAACCCACGGATGTAGTAACTATATCTAACGTCTGGTTGGCGCGTGGATCAGGTTATGAAACTGTAGGGACGTTATTGCTTT